AGTGTCATACAAGTCTGTGAGATGTTTGGTGCTACCATTATGTACATTGTACTTCTTGCTACTATATTTAGTGACTTATTCAAGAACATCACCCCCCTGAACATATCTCACTGGGCAGTCATTTGTACGTATGTTGCTCTACCTTTGGCCTTTGTCAGGAGGGTGTCAATCATTGCCTGGTTCAGTATGGTGTCTGTGTTTGCGCTYGTGGSAGGKATYTTGACGATGATTATCTGCTGTGTCACGCAATACAAGTTGATGTCCATTGATAAGATTCCACCATTCAGTTTTAAAGACTTTCCAGTTGGCTTTGGTATTATTGTGTTTAGTTACACAGCACATGCTGTCTTCCCTGGTATTGAATCGAGCATGAAGGAACCCCACAAATATCCATTAATGATGAATGGGTCTTTCACTTTTGCTGCTGTTATCAAAGTCCTTCTTGGTCTACTTGCAGTGTTGGTTTTTGGTACCAAGACAAATCAAGTTATTACCGTCAACATGAAGACTAGCTTTGTTTTCAATATCTTAGCCAATTTGTTTGTCATTAGTAATGTGTTTCTCATCTTTCCCATCAATCTTTACGTAACCCTCGAAACTGTCGACGCCAAATTTCTAGGGTTTTTCCCTAACCTGGGTCCTGGAAGAAAATTCCACTGGGTGTGGCTCATCATAACCAGAACTCTGGTTATGACTCTTGCTTTGTTCTTTGTTATTTTGGTTCCTCACTTTGCTCTGGTAATGAGTTTTGTAGGGAGTTTTACWGGAACTTGTTTGTGCTTTTTGTTTCCATGTTATTTCCATATGAAGTTGAAGTGGAATGAGTTGCAGTGGTATGATATTGCTGTGAGATGGTTTGTAATTGTGTTTGGTTTTGTTAGTGGTGGTCTTGGGGTGTTCTTTTCTGGAAAACGTTTGCTGGAAGTTCGAGGGTAGTTGGTAGGGGAATTTGTAAATCAATTTTTTATCGATTATACTTTATTTGCATGTTTTTTTAATAAAACGAGGTGAATGCTGTAATGACGCAAACTCATTTCATTCCCACACTAACTTAGACAAACACGAAACAATGGCTTCAGTTCAGGGCTGGAGTTTAAAAGTCGACTTGAAGCCATTGTTTCGTTTTCATCCAAWTAAGGGAGTGTTGAATAGGTCTATTCTTACTACTACTAATATAACGTACGTCTAGACTTGATATTATCCAAGATACTTGTAATTACTCGTGGAGCTCTGATATTTTAAAGCAATTTCTTTTTGAGGATGTACCAAGAACTGCACACCACGACCTTGTGGTGTCGAAAGAAGCTCATCTGGGAACTGGGACCCTTGGTACTTCCATGTTAGATATCTATTGTATACTGAGATTTTCTTAGATTTTCATTGTGACTCACAATCATCCAATATTCTGCTAATTTTCTTGGGGGCTGCAAAGTCTCGTACTTTGATTATGCTTGCTTTAGGTTTCCTCCAAGGAACTCATCGACTTTATCAGTCCCCATGAAAACAGGTTCCTGCACTCAGAGCTTGTGTGATCTGAACGTCGGCATAATAATCACGATATAGAAATGAAAGAAAGTTATAGTGCTTAGAAGGAGGCAATTCCCGTTCGAAATTAATTTTTCCGAATTTATTCCTAATGGTTCTTTCTCCGGGAATTGCCTCTTTCTAAGCACTATAACTTTCTTTCATTTCTATATCGTGTCTATCATAGTGCCATGCGGTCCTCATATTCATATCTTTATAATAATCATAATCCTGTTTGTGAAATACTCATGGGGCATGGGGCCCATGGGGCAGAATGAGCGGACATTTTCCGGTTGAGTGACTGCGGCAGTTGCGCCAAATTCAAATGTCAAGCCTGGTTGAGCGCACCGATTTACAAAGAAAAGGGGCCAAAATGACGAAAGTGGTCATATAAAAACTCACTTTTCGACAAACCTAAAACCTAAATAAAAAATGTAACACCCGGCTTTTGTAGATAAAGGCTTAAACTAACATTTTCTA